CCCCCACCTTTCTCCATATTGCGGTATTACCCCTGGAATTCTGGAAACATTCCGTTTTGTAAACTGCGAAAAGGATTAGATGGATTCATGGATGGCCAAGCCAATTAATTCTCGAAGGTAGTGGGCGCCATTGTGGGAAGCGGGCGCTTGTTGCCAGCGTCATCGGTAGAGGAAAGTTGGTTACACCTCACAAGGCGCAGGCAATTTGGTCGAACCTCCTCTTTGAATGGTCGAACGTCCGCTTTGAGCCCTTTGACCAGTGATGCTAGCAATCGCCCGCTCGCCTCCACCGATCGAGCCCACTGCCTCAGAAGTCAAGATAACTGAGGATCCAGGAAGCATGTGAATTCAAGAAAATTGTCACTTATTTAGTAGGAACATCTTGGAAGAGATAAGGGGAGCACTATTGGAACGACCCTGCCGTTCTGGATCGCGTCGTCGTCGTCCTGTGCGATCCAGTCGCGCTACTAAACTATAAACGTTGCTTTGGTTTTGGGAGGGAGAAGGAAGTTTTGAAATTTGCAGATAGGCGAGCGAAGAAGGTCGGAGAATGGAAGAAATGGAAGGACTTCTTTTTTCAAGGTGCCGCCGATTTCTTGTGCAGCTGACCTACCGCTCGAAGACCAGCTGTTCACTCACCTCCATGGATCCTAGTCCTTGCCATGTGCGAGTGAAAGGGTTCGTAGCTGCTGTAGTGTGCTACTACGCTCCCTATCCCTGATAGGGAGTAGGCGTGGCATTTGAACACGGTACAGAATGGTTACTCGTGGTTATTTCAGCTTGAGACAACTGTCATCTTGTTCTGCGTTGGACAGAGACATGAACACAATTGTGTAAAAATGAAAATATCTCTCTAAAAGCACAGCCAGCACCATGGACAGTTGAAGGCGCGCAGCCACGCCTACCACATCTAAGGGATTTTGAGTGTACTCGCGACGCTCAAAAGCGCATGGGAACGATCTGGAAGGGTTGTGACATTCGGGCATTATTACCGTATTCGCCCAGCGCTCGGGATCTTGCTCGGTAACACAAGCTCTAACATGCTTGTTTTTTAATTTTTTGTATCATTTCAAAAAATCGAAGGTTCTATCCTCCCAGACTAGCCTGGTACCAACTTTATGGCCTGGTTGCCCGGGCGGCTGGGAGAAATTGGTATTGAACACCCGACCCGTGCAAGTCGTAAGCGCTGGCACTCTCGGTCGTTCCTACCATAATGATGTTGCATAATTAAAGGATGAGTGATTCATTATTTGTTGGTGGTTTCTTTTTAGGTGAGACAGAAGTGTTGTGTAGTGGCAAGTGGCACGCTCGACACGCGTGCGGTCCGGCGATCCTGGATCGGGCTCCCATCTAGGCCAACCAAACCTTCTAGCCTCCGGGAACGGTAAATTGGTACGAGTTTGTCTGGGAGGATGGTCTCACTGACTTGTACATCGGCTGGCCCCCGCAAGTCATTGTATAGGCCACATCGCATTCAATAAGCCACTATGATTCTCAGTGGAGGTGGATGCGTCCTAGGAAAGGATTGATTAACGGCGAGAACTTTTATCCCTTTCTTTTCTAGGTGGTTACCGGAGGCTCCAAACTGTGGACTAAATGATCATTATACGTAGGATCGTCACTCATTCACAATGGTTGTCTAGGTGGAACGTTGCATAGCAACGTGTTTTCAGACCAACTGTCGTCAACGACACTCTAAAAAGGTATTACAACGTGCTCTTGTGAGTTTTCATTTCCTCGTTTGCAAGCAATTATGTGACTTGCAAGAAATCCATAGATTGTTCTGTGTGCTTGCCACCCCAAGTGGTGTACTGCATATTACTTTAATGTCGTGCCTAGGGTGAAATTGGTACAGATGGATCATGGAATCAATTTTTTGGGGATTGAACCTATCAAAATTCGATTGCATGGTCAACCAGGATCAATAGTACCAATAGCTAATAATTTCAAGAGCAGCCTCATCAGCTCACTGGTAGATCCATTCTCGTGAGCCAGTTTGACCACTCCCCTATGCCGCAGTCTCAACTGGGAAATATAGAGGTGTGCCTATTCAAAGGTAGACCCACGCTCATCGAATGGACGGGGTCAATCTTACCATTGAATGTTACTCATTGGCGCGCTCCTCTTCTTCGAAGAAGGGCGCACTAGTGAGGTATGTGAGGTATGCGCAGTGGCCTGACTCCGCCCACATTGCTACGTGGGTCCGTACGTTTGCAAGACAAGGATCGATCGCTTTCTTGGTTTCCCACGCAAAACATACTGTAAAAAGTAATCACTAGCTATCACAGGATGAAAGCTAATTTTTTTTTTCTGGTAAGAAACAACGTTCCTTGCTATTCAGAGTCGATTCGATTTCAGGATCATGTCGGGTGCGAACTCCGTGGTGACTGTATTCCAAAATTTGTTCTCAAATCATGGTTCAACATTTCTAAATATAATTTTGGTAGTATCCACTATCGGTGGCCAGTCGGTAAGTAGCATCATTTCACCCCTCACTGATGAACTGTTACCGTGATCTCCGAACCTTCGATATTGAAATACAGGATCAGTGGTTGGGGGAGGATCAGTGGGGGTATTTATTTTTTGTTGCGTATGCCGTTACACTGCCGGGGCCGCCCTTTGCCTTCTCATCCCAATGGCACATGGCACAAAATGCTACGGCACAAAATGCCATTGAGCTGAGAAGGCAAAGAGGCCCCGGTAGCGTAATGGACAACGCAACCGCCCGGTAAGCGAAGAGATGCAGGTTCAACTCCACTTCCCGGTCTGACTTTTGGCGCAATACTCGCATTCTTTGTGATAACTTAGCAGACTGCGGCGTCTCACAGGCAGTTATCAAAACTAAGACAGGCTTATTTGGGTATTTTTGGCAGCGTTGGCAGTTATAGATACAACTGTTGCTTTAACACGCAATCGTGAATGGGTAATTGTTACCTTGTGGGAAGGCGCGCTGCTCATCGTCCTGCGCCCGAACGGGAGTACCAACCTATCAGAAACGTTTCTCCAAGGAGTAGCTCCTGTTCGCATGTTTTTGAAAGGCTACTGTGATGAAGCTGCATCGTATCCTCTACATACTGAGGGCAAATTCAATTTGATTTGAGAAAGAAATTGGTCTGATAGTTGGGTGGATAAAACGGGTTTCCTCAAAGCCACGAGTCCTAGAGCTGATCGTCATAAAACTGGATTCGGCATACCACTGAGCCCTGCTCATTAGTGACGACGGCTTATAGGGGAGCACTGTAGTAGGTCTGAGACTGCGCTCAGGCGACCAACGTGGAGGGTGCCTGTAAACTGGAATGATGAGTTCACAAAGTTGAACGACCAAAGTGCTGCGTGAAAGCCATATGCTTCCCGAGACGGCAACTGATCTCGAAGCGGTATTTGTCAAAGGAGCAGAAAGAGACAGCGATTACTTTCACACTCTTTTCGCAGTTTTAGATCATTCGGAAGTTGACATTTGCCTGTCCATGTTCGTATCCGCTCAATATCTATCACTCAGCGGTGTTCATGTTCGGTCCGTCGACCGCTCTATTTATAATAGGAATTATGCTGAACACAACTACATGGAAGATCGTACATGGCACGTGTTTCAGGTAATAACAAGGTATTTCTGGTCGTACACTGACCTTATATGCCCTATACGTTAATGAAATAAAGCCATTTGTAGGGCGTCAGAAACTCGCCACACGTGTTCGACACTTTTCGCCTCATGGGTGGAGGTGGTGGCACAAGCACTTCTTGCACCAGCCGCCTGGTTATTCGTAGTGTTTTTGGACGGTGGGTGAGTTCTTTTATCCTAAGACATTTTCCTTCTTGTGAAAGGGAACAAGACGAAATGCGATACAGTGATTACACTGATGTTATGTTAACCCTTGGGGGTCATACTTGGCGTCAGAAGGAAATCTCCACCTACCACTCTCATATGGTCGGCGACGCGCAAAAACTACAGAACTATGATAGCCGAAAGTTGTTCAGAGGTATAATAAATACGTATTCTTCCCTCACACTTCCGCTCCACCGTGAATTTCTGAGAAAGTCGGGTAAGAAACTGGTAACCGGATGCATGGTGCAGCCACACCCCTATCTTCTCACATGTACCCTACCAAGGAAAGAGTATTAGGGCGAGTCTTGTTGACACCAGTGAGGGGCAGACGAACTGAGACGAGGCGCAGCCTAGTCCCTCTCATTAAGCCAACCACCCTGGCTGGGGAACCTTGAGTAAATCTTAAGTTCAGCTTTCCAAACTGCTGGTGAAGTTTAGCACCACTACGTTTTCTGTGTTGTTGCAGTTACTATCGTTGCCTTTTTGCGCACCATTACTGCGCATTCGACACATCACATCATTGTACGAATGCCACTGTGCTCGAGTATTATAAAAGCAGCCCGAATTTCGACCAGATGTCAGGACATGGAGTGGTAGGTCATTTGTTTGAGTTTCGTAGCATAGAAAGTAAAAGTAGATAATAAATTGGACGCCGCTGGAACAATTGCTCTTCGGGATGCGTAGTCAGTCTAAAACAGAAAGACGTTTTTGAAGGACAGAAAGACATCCCAGAAGTCGAGTTACTTTTCGAAAAGAGTGGTCTTGATGGAGACGTGCCCTAATCAGCCATCTTGACGGCGAGATCCATTTTTTTTTGTAGTGAAAGACGTATTTTGAAGAGTAGAGCTTCATGTGTCAATTTCTAAGGTACAAATTTCAGTACTGCCCTCCTTGCATATGCAACTTGGACGGATGGGATGCATCAAACCTGGAGGCTCAATCGCAGATTTACGCTTGGGTCATTCTAATAGTATTTGGCGTCGGCACATTTCTCGGTTCGTTTCTTTCATTTCGAAAGAAATTCATAATGAGAGAAAAGTCTTGATAGAATTCTTCATTCTAGAACAAACAGTAGCCAGAAATTTTACAGCAAAGTCCAATGATTCAGTGGATTGAAGCAGAACGGTACAGGACTGATGGGGCCAGCTCCCTTGGATGCCCTGTGAGAAGTTTATAGCGCGACGCTCGTCGGTATGTCTTCCAAGGCCCCTGAAATCGTACTAGTCCCACCAGCTTTCCGTGGGGTTCGTCTCGCTTCATCCCCGAATTCTGATACCAAAGCCTCCTCGGGGAACTTGCCGATATGGCACTAGACTATATGGCACTACATATTCTCACCATCAGATGACACCCAGAACCTAGGAGCCTCCTTGTCGCGCCCCTTGCCCTGGCTCTCCCATCGTCCCAGATGGGGAGAACGCTCTGACTGGCTGTCGTATCGCCTTAGGCCACGTTCATAGCTTGCGACCATGAAGAAATGCAGAAATGCAGAAATGAAGAAGTGCGGAATCTGCAGAAATGACGAAAAGCAATAGATACGTATCGACTTGAAGAAATGCAGAAATGCCGAAACTGCAGAAGTGCGGAATCTGCAGAAATGACGAAAAGCAATTCATACGTATCGATTTTCCGCACTTTCGGCATTTCTGCAGATTCCGCACTTCTTCACTTTCGGCATTTCTGCATTTCTTCAGATCGATACGTATGTAATGCTTTTCGTCATTTCTGCACTTTCCGCACTTCTGCAGTTTCGGCATTTCTGCAGATTCCGCGCACTTTCTGGCAGTTTCCGCATTGTCTGGATTTCTTCACACGGTCGCAGGCTATGAACGCGGCCTTATATAGCTGTCAAGGATGTCTCACAGAGAAAAATTTCATGGATCCCTGTTGTTAAGTACGGCAGCAACAAGCTTCTTCATCGTATCTAGAATATCCTGTGGGCTCCCACTTTGGGCTCCGGAACATCTTCTAGAGAGAGAAATCTGACCTCAACTCTGAAGCGACCACGACGGGGTATTTCCATCGCAACTGCTTCAGTTCTATTAGGTTGTCCGGAAAGTTCTCAGCGTTTTGTGTTACTATTTTTTGTACATTCATTGCTGATTAAAAACTCATTCTCCCTTGCGTCTCAGTAGTACATCCTGAAGAGAATTTTTTGCGCTATCTGATGGTATAATTGCCGTTTCACCATTGCTTGATAACCCCCTTTTTCAAGAGTTTTTCAAGCATGTCAAAAGAGCAACTTCGGACGATATTGTTCTTCAACTACAAATTGGGTCAATCCGCAGTCGAGACAGCTCGAAAATTAACCAGGTGTGGAGGCCCTAGTGTTGGAGAAAGCACCGTGCGACAATGGTTCGACAAATTTCGTTCTGGAGATTTCAGCCTCGTAGCGGTCGACCTAAAGCAATACCTGACGAGGATTTGAAGGCATTGTGGTTTGATCCCAAACAGTTCGAGAGATTTCAGAAAAGCCAGGCGTCCACTGTTGCGGATGTTCTGAAAAGCATTGGGAAGGTGAAAAAACTCGACAATTGGGTGCCCCACAATTTGAGTGACCGGCAGAAATTGGCACGTCTCGAGGTTTTCTTCTTCACTGCTTTTGCACAACAGAAACGACCCGCTTTAGGACCAAATTGTCACATGTGATAAGAAGGAGATCATGCAATGATAACAGGAGACGTTTCGGACAGTGGTTGGATGCCGGCGGACCCCTGAGGCAATTTCCAAAGCCGAATCCTCACGACAAAAAGGTTATGGTCACAGTGTGGTAGTCATCGGCTGGTGTGATCCACTATAACTTTTTGTTACCAGGCCAAACCATCACAGCAGAACCCCTACTGTGAAGAAATCGACGAAATTTACCGAAAATTGCGTCAGCTGCAGCCAGCACTTGTCAACAGAGGGTCCGATTCTTCTGCATGACAACGCCCGCCCACACGTTTCACAAATCACTATCCATAAATTGAACGAATTGGGGTTGAAGTTCTACCTCACCGCCATATTCTCCAGACCTTTCACCAATCACCTTTTCAAACATTTTCAGAACTTCCTTGCTGGAAAATACTTCATCAATTAGGACCAGGCAAAAAAGCCTTCGTGGATTTCGTAGATTCTCGACCACCCAGTTTTTTTCCTTTGATGGGATTTCTCGACTGGTGTCACATTGGCAAAAGTGTGCTGATTCGAACGGTGCTTGTTTCGATTGAATCCGATGAGTATTAAGAAAGTTATGATCTGAAACATGAAACACGTGAAAGAGGCGCCAAAAAATTTATTGCAAAAAACTCAAAAGACTCAAAAGAATCCAAAAGTTCTTGCAAAAATTTTTGTTTCTAATACTTCCTTCGAATATTTCGGTGCCTAGCACCTTCCTCAGCGATCTGGTCTTCTGCCTCCAATATAGCCTCCGCCGCTCCTTGCAAAAGTGCGACTTCTAGTGTTGACTGAGTCTCGACAGCACACCATATTAAGAAAGCTATTATCGTTTAAAGTGAAACACTCGAAACGCTGAGAACTTTTCCGGACAACCTAATAGAAGACTGGAGTGGAATAGGTGCTTGGAAGATGTCATACGTGTGCTGTTCTTACTTCTTTGAGACCTCTTGATCTGTGTCTTAAGGTTCCATTACCTCTCCGAAATGATATCCACAAGATAGTTATTCTACTCGTTTCAGCTTTTCATCTCATTTTTTCCTATCACCAACCAATATTAGTATGTAGTACCAGTATCACAGATAATAACTGCTGCTTTCAGTGATTTGCATCGTTCGAATGTTCGACAAGTACACGTATGTTCAACGCCACTATGTAGAAACGTATAAAAACGAGGAGACAAGTAAATTTGATGGCGTCGCAAAAGTGAGCGATTAACTGAGATGAAGAATAATTTCACTCATCTTGCAAATCGAAGGGGACCAGAGGGCACATTGGATGCGATGGCCGCTTTTTGTTCGCGCGGAGCCCCGCCTCGTTAGAACATAACCTAGACAGGTGTCATTCTCATTGAGGTTGACTCAAAGACAAGTTGCACACTCACTTTCGTGGATCCTGTTTCTTGTGGGGAGAATGGGTCCGCAGATGCAGTAGCGAGCTACTTTAGCCTGCGCTGGAGGGTAGTTATACCCCGATGCCGACTCTATACACTGCCTCGCGCTGCCGCACGCCCAGCCAAGAGCCAAGCCATTGCCAATCACGCTGCTTCTCTACAAACTCTTTTGGCTGTGGTATCTATCGCCGAGCGCGTTTCCGTTGCGGGACCTAAGCATCGCCGCATGTGCTGCACTTCTCAATGGTGCGGGCGGAGTACCGAGACAGCACACGGTGCTACTTCCCTACAACCCCATTTCTGGGCACTTTTGTGAGAAGAAAGTGGCACGCTACTGCATCTGCTGATCTATTTGCTGTGGAAATTGCAAGAACCGTCCTCGGAGGTGAATGCAGTTTTTTTTCAAGTTCGTGAAACACTCCGACGTGCTTTTAGGAACACGCCTCTCAACTTGCTGAACGTAATGCACGTGCGTTCTTCAATCAAAAGGACTGGACAAAAAGAGATTGGGACTGGGTTTCAGGTATTCAGTTGCATAGTAAATCAATCAAGGATGTATTAATGCCCATCTGAAAATCTAGGCGTCGCTGAGGTCAATAACCCAATGTTTGCAAGACTCCGACTGATAGCCGCAGAGAAGACCAAGACTACCATGTACACGCCTCTTCAGCTGTGGAACGATCACAAGGTTCTGCTAATTCATCAAATGAAAATTGGAGCTAGGCAATACAACCGAAAGTTGCGGCGTAATTCAAGGCGCACGCTGCGTTCCCTTTGCTTAAATGGTTTCTTAACGATAGCGGTGACGATAGCCGCTGATGATGTAGCCTAGAACATCCGATTCGCGCCAATAAGCGCAAACTAGCAATGTTTTTCACAGCTAGTTAACTTGCTACACTGTGACATCGTCATGTTAAATGATATAGGTCCCGGTGCGAATGTCGCGCATGCGCACCATTCGGAATGGATCTTTCGCTGTGCTCGTCGCAAACCCATTCACCACAGCTGCTCTTCGAGGATTATGTTGTTATTTAAGGGTTACCGTATCCTACAACCGGAAGTACTGGCCGTTGACGAAACACAAAACATCGGTGTCATTGTGCCGGACGAGATCACTGTCAACAACAAGCATGACACTCAGTAACATGTAAATTTTTTTGGGTTATGTTCGGGATTACTGGTTTTGATCTCTGTGATAATTGTGATTTTGTGATAGTAGCTCAGATCTTTTATACTGTATTCATTTTGTGAAGTAAATAGGTTTGGAAAGACAATTTCGTGTCCGATATGCCTCCTTCTGCTTGACACAGCGTATCTAAATACTGTTTATACAGTCCCTATCACTGAACTCAATCAGAGCGTCCAGCGGACATGGTTTTGGCGCGGTGCCAGCCTGTTTACCATCGATCGTTGCGGTGTCGCGTTCAGTGAGTGGTGAAAAAGGTTCTGGCGCAGCGCCAAGGCGCTGATACGCCCCGATTGGCTTCAGTGACAACGGAACAATAATGTGAAATGTATCGAATAAGGCTGTAGGAAACACCTTCATCAGCAGATCAATCGAAGGAGTAAAGTTTAACTGTTCCGAAAAAGTCCTTAAATGGCAAGAAAAACCTGGGTTATCATTCGAATAATACTCCTCTCGGAGCTCTCCTCCAGCTGATTCATTCTGTACTCGCGAGCAAGTTCTCAAACATCCACGGTGCATTTGAAGTGTGTGACAAGAAAATCGTAATTCGCCGCGCCGCACTTCTTCCTTTAATTACTTAATGTCAAGTCGAGAATATCGCAGTTACGTGCCAGATGTTTGCAGACGACATTAAAGTTTATAAGCCTGTCAAGTCCCCGAACGATTCCTTGTCAATTCAGAAAGCCGTTGATACTGTATATGAGTGGTCTGTGACTTGGGGTTTCCCTATCAGCCTTGAAAAGACCAAAACATTGCATTTAGGTAAGAGCAATCCTAACTTATAAGTATTTTATCCGTGGCTCACCTATTGAAACAGTCTCTGAAACAAGAGACCTTGGCTTCGTTGTTAACAGTAACCTTGATTTTGGACCTCACTGTCTCCAAGTGGCTGCAAA